GTTACCCCACAGGTTCAGGAGCCTTCTCACCCTCCAAAATGCATATGAATTTGTGTTCATGTTGCTCTAGTTTCTGCTGCAAAATTGTTGAAAACCAGAATGAGGACCCCACCATATTCTAAGAAGTGAAAAACACCTCAGATACCTGGGGATACATAGTCTCTGTAGTAACATTTCAGAAGACATTTTAACTGTTGCAATCAAAACAACTTTTCCATCAGAAGAAACTGACCAATTTGACCATTGCTTTACATGATCTTCTGGTTTTTTGTTTGTTTGTTTTAGAGATTTTATTTATTTATTTGACAGAGAGAGAGAGAGAGTGAGAGAGGGAACACAAGCAGGGGGCAGTGGGAGAGGGAGAAGCAGGCTTCCCGCTGAGCAGGGAGCCCGATGCGGGGCTCGATCCCAGAATCCTGGGATCAGGACCTGAGCCGAAGGCAGACACTTAACGACTGAGCCACCCAGGCTCCCCATTTACATGATCTTCTAATAAGGCTGTTATGGGAAGAGTGTTTTTTCATTGACTCATCCATTCATTGATGCTACCATGTACCTATATCTCCACTTACCTGTGCTTAGTGACTTTTTTTTTTTAAGTAGGCTCCACTTTGAGCATGGAGCCCAATACAGGGCCCAAACTCACAATCCTCAGATCAAGACCCAAGCTGAGATCAAGAGTCAGATGCTTAACCCCCTGAGCCACCCAGGCACCCCTAGTTAGTGACTTTTAGACATAATATATCTTGAAAAGTTATACTACTTTTCAGACAATGACCTTCTCCCCCTGCCCAGAATAGCAAGATTTTCACCATAAAGCACACTGAATAAACATGCTATAAGAAGTGGTATTTCAACATTATGATTTCAGGCAAAGACATGCTTACCAATTCATTCAAAACAAGTTTTTAGACAGAGTACAGCATGTGGAACAAATTTAAATTGCACACTGTGAAAGATGCACCCAAAATGTTTTCCTCTGTGTACACAGGACAAGCGAAAGAGATGAAAATGCAGCATCTTCAGCTAATTATTCACATGGGCTATTCTGAAGTGTTCTGGAGTATTCTCATGGTTATTTAGTCTTTATTTCGTCCTAAAGGTATGTTTCTGTGCTATAACTTTGAGTGTAGATTTGAGTGCTAGACAACAATGCACCTAAGAATGGTTGAAAAATTGGCAAAGAGAATGATGAAGAAAGAACAAACCTTCCAAAGAATATGTTTCCTACACCCCCTCCTCTGTAACCTACCATCCACTATAGTCTTTTATTACATTTTAAGTATAAACTGTATTTACTTTAAACTATTCATTAATTACAAGAAATTATTTTCATCATTCAATTCATATATTTTTCTAAGAAGATTGTTTGGGTATCTTGCCTTTGGTATTGATAAAAGCATCATAAATTTCCTTGTTAAATTTAATGGATTTTTATTGAATGGTCAAGTTGCTTCACTTCTCTGAGCCTTCCTTTCTTCATCATAAAGAGGGCTAATAAAACTGGCCCTGGGGATGCTGTGGGGTTTTAAAATAAATAAATGAATAAACAGAAAATTTAAAAATGTCATGAGTCAATAGTTTCAAGCATTTTTACAGCACTTACTTATTTACTGGTAAATGTTGTGTTAATAATAAATCACTCCTGGGGTGCCTGGGTGGCTCAGTCAGTTAAGTGTCCAAATCTTGGTTTCAGCTAAGGTCATGATCTCATGGGTCATGGGATCGAGCCACATGTGGCTCCGTGCTCAATGGGAAGTCTGCTTGAGGATTCTCTCCTCTGCCCCTCCCCCCTAAAATAAATACATAAATCTTAAAAAAATAATAATAATAAATCACACTTATTTATGCATTAAAAAGTTATTAAGTATATGAGGTATTAAAACTTCATTCTTTGGGGGCACCTGGGTGGCTCAGTCAGTTAAGTATCTGCTTTCAGCTTAGGTCATGATCCCAGGGTCCTGGGATCGAGCGGAGTCCCACATCGGGCTCCTTGCTAAGCAGGGAGGTTGCTTCTCCCTCTGCCTGCCACTTCCCCCTGCTTGTGCCCTCTGTCTTACAAATAAATAAAAAAAACCTTTAAAAAAATAAAAATAAAACTTCATTCTTTGAAAATTAAAAAAGGTAAATTTAATGGATTTGTTTTTTCATTTAATGCCTCTTGGTGGCAGCATTTCACAAATGAAGTAAAGTCATTAAGCAAAGGAATACATTGATAGAATAAAAGAGATGAATAAGTTATAGCTCCAACCTTGAAGGAACTTGCAAGTTTTTGGAGAAGATGAATAGATCTGTACATAAGAATGTGCAGAATATAAAAGTTCATGTAAATTATAAAGAAATAAGACCACATTTTTAAAAATAAATAAGCATATCTAAGCTTATACACCAAAACTACAGTTATGTCCTTTAAAAAGTTCCCCTGGAAAGTATACACTGTCATTTCTCAAAAACTTATTTGATTAAAAGTTGGGAATGGTATCACAGAGAAGCACTGGGATATAAAATGTCCAGGACATAGATAAATGATTTTCCTAAAGGGGTGACTATCCTTAAAGATCTTTCCATGATCTATTTTCCTTTCAACATTTTCTTTATATATATGTATTTCTTAATTTTTATTTTAAGTAGGCTCCATACCGAACATGGGGCTTGAACTCATGACCCTGAGATCAACAGTCACATGCTCTGCATTCTAAGCCAGCCAGGTGCCCCTCAACGTTTTTTATATAAGACTATAACAAAGTTCAGAAGAGTTGATACAAAGGAACATTTGATTGCTAAAGTCCCATTTCAGGAAGGTAGGTCAAGCTTGGATCCCACAGTGTGGACATTTTTGCAATGGGAAACAACCAACCACAAAAGGAAGTGACTTTGAATACTGAGTGAATAGACTCATTCTAGAAGATATTCTTTTTCTTGCTTAAAACCCTTGTTGGGAGGCAATGGTGGGTGTAAAGTGTAGTCTCATACCTTCCCATTCAGCAGAAACAAGCATTTTCAGAGGATATTTGTGGACATGCAAGAATATTCAAAAGGAGTTAATATGGTAAGAGAAATAAGGCTAGGGGCGCCTGGCTGGCTCAGTGAGTTAAGCGGCTGCCTTTGGCTCAGGTCATGATCTGAGGGTCCTGGGATCAAGCCCTACGTCAGACTCCCTGCTCACTGGGAAGTCTGCTTCTCCCTCTCCCTCTGCTGCTCCCCCCCTGCTTGTGCTTTCTCGCTCTCATGCTCTCTCTCTCTCAAATAAATAAATAAAATCTTAAGAAAAAAAAAGAGAAGTAAGGCTAATGAACTATGTGTGTCTGAGAGGGGTCTGCAATCAACCATTAGCATTGGTACAAGTAAATGGTCACCCCATATGAACCGGGTCAAGATTCTAATTAAGTGAGATTTGAGAATAACACTGAATCAGGACACAAAGAAGTTCCTGAAAGGCATTCTAGAGGCTTCTGACCAGGCTCTTCCACATGCCCTCTGATAATGCTTTGGTATTTAGCGTCAGTGCCATCAGACCCACTCATACATGACTTGCATATTTTGGTATGTTTATTCCATAATGTGAGTTCATTTGTGTTCAACCCATTCTTTTTTGTCCCAAGTTAAAAAAAAAAAAACCCTAAAGGTTTTATTAAGGGGAGGTTCTTAAGCTGAATGGACATTGTATTTCTGATCTGAATGGACACTGTATACTCTTAACATCCTGATTTGCCGACAAGCAGATACAGTATTGATCCCATTATAGAGTGAGCAGGCCCATTCAGTAAACATCCTTACATTAACCAAGGATTATACATGGTTAGTACTTAAATTTGTTTCCCTCAAAATAGACATGTACAGTAGTACTATAGTGACATATACCTCTATTTCAACAGTATCATCATTCCTAAATGGGTCACAGCAGAGGAACTCAGACTTTGTAAGGTCCCTGCTGATGCTAGTTATTCTGTGTGTGTGCCTCTTGTGACATAGTCTTTACTCTTCCCCATCCTGCTCCATGCCCCAAGAAGCTGACCTGGAAGGACTGCATTATCCAGGCTCATTGGCCCTCTTGCTTTTGGTTGGGTTTGACAAATGCAATGCAGGAGATTGGAGAGTGAGAGGAGGCAGGGTATTTATTCCTGCTGCTCCCTGCCTGGTGTGGCAGCATCTGCATTTCTTTACAGATGGCCTCAGCTCTCCTCAGGTGGCTTCTCTCCCAGTGTTACAGCTCTTACCATTCAGGACTTCCTGCTGTCTCCTCAACATCCTCTGTTGGTTCCTTATCCTTGACAATCAATCCCTACATCAAACCCTCTTTGATTTCCCCCGTTTGAATGGTTTCCTGCCTGAAACATATATCTTGCACGCATTATTTTTTCATACATTGTTTTTTTCTCATTAACACAAATATTTATTGATACTATTTATACAGCAAATTAGGTTGAATGTGAAGTTTGGATAACTTGAAGTCACCATTTGCTTGTGCACAAAGGTATTCTCTTATTTATAAATGAACATTTCTCTTTGCCTTCCATTAGTTTTTGTCCAGATATTGGCCTCTGTCAAATATTTAAAAATTAGCTTAGTTTCTATTAAACAAAACTAAAAGTGATTCCGTGGACAGTGACTGTATGGTGACCAAAAACATCTGAGGTCAAATGTCATTTAAAACTGCTTCTCGGGACGCCTGCGTGGCTCAGTCTGTTAAGCATCTGCTTTCAGCTCAGGTCATGATCCCAGGGTCCTGGAATCGAGTTCCGCATCAGGCTCCTTGCTCAGAGGGGAAACTGCTTCTCCCTCTGCCTGCTGCTCCCCCGGCTTGTGCTCTCTCTGACAAATAAATAAATAAAATTAAAAAAAAAACCTTTTAAAAAAACCACGAAAATTAAAACAACAACAACAACAACCTGCTTCTTGATCATCTCTGTCAGTTTGTGCTACTTAAGACAGAGAGGGCCGGGATTTTATAAATTCCAAGTCTTATCTGAACAGTCTGCATATAAGAGTTGTCTTTTAGTTTAGTGAAGGGGTATCCATGCAGCTGTGGACCTCTGCATTCTTGCCTCTGTTGGTTGATAACAGTAATCCTTCCAACTGTCCTCTTTCAGGCAACCACAGGTTTTAGGAACTGGCAAGGATCTGTGAATAGACTGTGCAAGTTTGCTGTGAGGTACTGGTATACCCCCAGCAGAAGGGGAAGTGGGTCTCCACAAGCCACTTCTGACTGTGGTTGTTCCTGCAGATCTGGTTGAAGTAGGGCTATTGATATTGTTGGGAGGATTTGCTGGGACTGTGTGCTCTGAACCATGGGAGGCCCCGGGTGGGGAGGTGGCTTGTATGAACTGTATTGTTTCTTTGGTACCAGGAGAACTAGAGCCATGGTTGTTAAATGCTTTTACTGGTTGCTGGAAAGCCAAAGGAGATGGTACTGCAGGGAAACAGAATTTGCCTGGAGAAGGTACGGCTGAAACCTGAGGTTGCATGTGAGGTATTCCTCCATTCGGCACTTGAAAATTTAAGTCACTTCTGCTGCTTTTCATTGAGTCAACTTGCATATTCGATGTTTGGGACTCTCATTCATTATTTAATTTAATTCCCACAATGCCACTGTTAGAGGTATCATTCTAAAGATCACAAAACAGAATCGTACTTACCACAGAGTTGTAACTTAGATGTAAATCTAGATTTGACTGACTCTGAGCCCTTGCTCCTTCCACTTCATACAGTTTCCTTCTAGAAGGTTTGTTAGTACTTACTTAGCCAATCATCCATAAATTTACTATTATTATTCCCATTTTGCAAATGAGAAACTAAGAATCAAAACCATCTACTTGCCCCACCTCACAAACATACTTGACTGTTTACATTATCATGACTTTACTCTGCCACTGTCTTTATCACAGTGTCTTAACTATTGCAGGAAATTTTTGTCCAGAGAGATAAAAGTTAAAAATAACTTCAGCGTCCCTTTCAGGAACTTCCTGAAAAAATTCATTTTTAATGAACATAAGATTGTTTGGCTTTTCAATAGATAGCATCAAACAATTCTTTGCTTTCTGTGATTCTTCCATACCCTCACCTCAAAGCCCTCATTTTGCTGTACCCACCAATCCTAAAGTGTTCTGCCATGATCTCTATCCAGTCCTAATTAAGAGCCATCCCTTGCCTTGAAAGACTTGCCTTAAACCAAATCCCCAAACTTCGTATCACAACTTTGCTCTCTTCCCTCCCAGATGCTACTAATTCATGGTCAAAGCAGTATTCTCCCTTACTGAGGTAAGCAATAAACTCAGATTTACCTTTTCAACAGGTTATTTTGGTGGTATTTTTGAGGATCCAGCATTTGGCAACACTAACACTTAGAGACTTAATTAATCACCCAAGTTCAACAACATAGGAAGAGATGGAGCTGAGATTGAAACCAAGGCATTCTGACCCTGGAGCCCTCTCATAAATAGCACACATTTTTGTCTCTAATAGGCTATAATATTAAAAGAAAATATGACAAATTACTTAGCACAAATGTTACTACTTGGTCACTAGAGTGTTTAACACAGTCCCTGATGGCTTAGTATAACAGAGCATTATCTTTTCAGGTATTCAGAAAAAAAAATTATTAAAAATTAGTCTTTTTTTTAATCATCTTCCAAAGCTTAACTTTTTAAGACTTTTATCACTTAGATTTACAAATATATCAAGGTAATTAGCAAAAGTAGTAGCATTTCTTTATATATCAACTTGTCGTATGAAAATGTTAAATTGTGTTTTATCATTACATAAAAGTAAAAAAGGGACTTGCCTTTACATGGTATTATGCATCGAAGTACTGATTTCTGAATTGTCTTCACTGTGCAGCACAGATTATTTTATCATCTAAATGAAAATAAAGCAGAATTTTACTTGTTCTACAAAAAATGGTTGTTACAATAAAAGTGGACATTTCAATAAAACAGCATATGATTTTACTCTTGAGATACCAAAGGGTATATATCTCAGAGAGACTTGAGTGAGAATTAACGTTTTATTTATTTATTTTTTAAAGATTTTATTTATTTATTTAACAGAGAGAGACACAGCGAGAGAAGGAACACAAGCAGGGGGAGTGGGAGAGGAGAAGTAGGCTTCCCGCAGAGCGGGGAGCCTGATGTGGGACTCGATCCCAGGACCCTGGGATCATGAACTGAGCCAAAGGCAGATGCTTAATGACTGAGCCACCCAGGCGCCCTGAGAATTAACATTTTAAATTATATATTTGAATGCAATCATGAAAATAGGAACTGATGAATAAACCAAAGGAATCAAGAAAGTTTCTAGAAAATTCTGGAAATAGATTCTCTTCCTCTTGTTTATTTTTTATGGTGACCTGTGTCCTTTGGGAGCTCCCAAATGAATCTGATGCAAACAGATGTTAATGTTTAATGTCTTTTTAGCCTGATGATATGGGGAGAAACTCACTAAGTAGGCTTCCACTGAGCTGACTTCAAGATTAACGGACTCGTTCTACTGTCTCTCTGTGAATCATACTGGCTGATTCCCACAGCAAACTGACCCTCAGCACTGCCACACTACTCCCCATTCTGCCCTCGTACCAGTGCTCCCACCAGCTGAGTTGTATGCTTCCCTAGACTCAATCGTGTTTGATCTGAAACCTTGTCACTGTAATACTATAACAACTACATGTTATACCACTTGACAACTACATATTACTCAAGATGACAGGTTGTAAAAGAAAAATGTTGCTGCTGTGAAAACTAAATTAAATACTTCAGAAAGCAAATTGCTTTTTAAAATAAGATCAAATCAAATAATTATAAAGAATTTGGAAAAAAAACTTTAAAGGTCTAGAAAAATTTTGCTTTTAGATTTAAGATCTTTTTCTCACTTGAAACACTAGGAAATGTAGATGAATTATGAGTATAGTTTTGTGAAAAAGACCATCTGGAACTTTAATCACCAGATTCATACTAAAAAAAAAAAAAAGCTTTGGGTCTACTACAAAAGGAAGGTAAGTAAATATGTATTTATAGGTTTGCTGTTAAATTATAAGTTCCAGTTCAATATGTTGTCTCTTTTATGATTGTCTAATATGACTGAAATTTTTTTTTTTTTTAAGATTTTATTTATTTATTTGAGAGAGAGAATGAGAGAGAGAGAGAGGGCACATGAGAGGAGGGAGGGTCAGAGGGAGAAGCAGACTCCCCGCTGAGCAGGGAGCCCGATGCGGGACTCAATCCCGGGACTCCAGGATCATGACCTGAGCCGAAGGCAGTTGCTTAACCAACTGAGCCACCCAGGCGCCCATGACTGAAATTTTTTTGATTAACCAACTGTGATGGTTACTTTCTTTTAAAGATTTTTTATTTATTTTTTGACAGAGAGAGAGAACACAAGCAGGGGGAGTGGGAGAGGGAGAATCAGGCTTCCCGAGGATCAGGGAGCCCAATGAGGGGCTTGATCCCAGGACCCTGGGATCATGAACTGAGCCAAAGGCAGACGCTTAATGACTGAGCCACCCAGTGCCCTGAGTGATGGTTAATTTTATATGTCAATTTGACTAAGCAATGAGATGCTCAGATATCTGATCAAAGACTATTCTGACTTTGTGAGGGTGTTTTTGGATGAGATTAACATTTAATTAGGTAGACTGAGTAAAACAGATTGCTCTTCCTAATGGGGGTGGGCCTTACCCAATTAGTTGAAGGCCCAAATAGAATAAAAAGGCTGACTGTCCCATGAGTAAGAGGAAATTCCTCCTTCCTGACTTAGTTGAGCTGGAATATCAGTCTTTTACAGCCTTCACACTCAAACTGAAACATCAACTTTCATTGTGTCTCAAGACTGCCATCTTTCAAACTAGAACTTATACCACCAGCTCTACCGGACTTACACTGGGATTGTACCATAGACTCTTCTGGGTCTCTAACTTGTTGACTACATATCTGGTGACTTGTACTTGAACATTTAAAGGTGATGGCAAAAGAGGAAGAGCAAATAAGGAAGACTGAGGACCAGATGAGGAAGTAAGAGAAAAACCAGGAGAATGTGGTATCATTCAACCCCTAAAAGGAGAATTTCAAGGAGTGGCCAGTTGTATTAAATGCCAAAATATCAAGGAGTATGAGGTCAAAGCAATCCCCAATGTATATAATATAATATAGTTGGTTGTGACCTTTATGGAAGTAATTTCCCTGGAACGATAAAATGAAGTCAGATTATAAGGACTGAAGAGAAAATTGTATTTCTAGTTAATGAGGTATATTGGACACAAGTAGTTACTTCTGTCCCTTTTATAACACCATTGAAAAGATAGCAAAAGAAGTTTTTTCTAAAAAGTGATAAACCAAGAAGACCACACAAACTAAATGATGAGATTTCAACAAGCTTTTGAAAGATGAGAAATGGATGGACCATGGTAATTGACTTAGCATTCTAGAAAAAGGTAAAGTGAAAGTAGCAGCATGAGGGGCAAGCAGACAAAGAACAAGATGATTCATGTCTCAGGACCCTGAAAGAACTTGGGAACTCGAAGTATTAGGGACCTTTGAAAGCTCAGTTGACAATTTGTTTATGAGACAGCTTTTCACATATTCTCCTCCACTTTAGCCTGTCCTCATACCGCAGAAGACTGGAACTTCCCTCTCTAGGAAAGTTGATCCCCAAACAGTATGGAAATTCTCCCAGCTTCACTTATACACACCAGGTGGGAGAATAGAGAATCACCTTCAGGGAAAATATGCCTGTGGTTTTAAAAAAAAACCCACAGAGATACTGATATTTGTGTGCCCTTCAATGAAAAAGCCAGCTTACTGTTAAGTGATATCCACCACTGACAAATTCTGCTCATGCAAATAGAGCTCTGAACATGAAATACAGAAAAAAAAAAGGCAAACAAACAATTTAAAAAAAAAATAGAAAATGCAGGGGCACCTGGGTGGCTCAGCCAGTTAAGTGTCTGCCTTTGGCTCAGGTCATGATCCCAGGGTCCTGGGATCTAGACCCGAAATGGACTCCCTGCTCAGCAGGGTGCCTGTTTCTCTCTCTGCTGCTCACCCTGCTTGTGCTCTCTCTTTCTCTCTCTGTCAAAGAAATAAATAAAATCTTTTTTAAAAAAATAAAAAAATAGAAAATACAAGGAAGATCAAGAAACTTCAAAAAATATTTTAATAGGATCTTCACAGAGGTGCAAGATGATATTGCATCCACAAAACGAAACCAGAATGTTATAAAAAGTGAATTACCAAGCCTAAGAATGGGCTTTTGGACATTGTAAATATATGAGAACTAAAAGAATCAATAGGAGGGGTGAAAGGTTAAGTCAGGAAAATCTTTCTGAAAATGGATTAAAAAAAATGGAGAATAGTAGAAAGTTAAAACAAATTTAAAGGATCTGTGTAGGAGGTCCAATATCTGAATGATAAGAGTTCCAGAAAGAAAATATAGAGGAAAGTATGAAAATGCCTTAAACCAAAAAAATTTCTAGAACTGAGGGATACAGGTTTCCAGATTAAAATGACCCATTGTGGGTGCCTGGATGGCTCAGTCAGTTAAGCATCTGACTATTGATTTCGGCTCAGGTCACAATCTCAGAGTTAGGGTTGTGAGATTGAGCCCCACATCAGGCTCTGCACTGACCTTGGAGTCTGCTTGAGATTCTCTCTCTTCCTGTCCCTCTGGCCCTCCTCCCACTCACTCTTTCCCCCTAAAAAAAGGAAAAGAAAAAGAAAAAGAAAAAAGACCCATTGAATGTCCAGCCATACAAATAAAGAAAGGCAAATAAGGACAAAAAAATCTTAAAAATTCTAGAAAGAAAAAAAAAATCAGGTCATATACAAAAGCTAGATTCTGAATGTCATTCATAGGAATTCTGAGCAACTTTGGGAAGCCTCGGGATTTAAGGAAGAGCACATCCAATATAGGGGAAAGTTGAGGGCATTTCCAGATGACAAGGGAAATCCCTTCACTGAGGCTGTGTAGTAAGGAAAGAAAGGATGTGAAATGTATCAGGAGTCATGATTGCTGTGAAACCTGAGGTAAGCAGGATTAAAAGGCAGAAGAACTCATGACCAGCAGTAGGATGGGTAATCAGCCTGGTCCTGATTTAGCCCCTGGTGCGGGGGCCTTAGCCAGCTGCTGTTTGTTCCTGTATCTCTAGTAGAGGCCGACAGGACTCTACACTGATAAAAGTGTATGCTCCGGCTACCCAGTGGAAGTTATCCCCACCAGGAAATACAATCCTCTTTCAAGTCTTATTTTTGAAAGCTTTCTTGTACGTGATCCCCAAATCCACCGAGAATTTCCTGAGGTAGGAAAATTCCCTCATGGGGACTACCTATTCCACAACTGACTTCAGGCTCCATAATTACAGGTTACATTGAATATTACATGTTATATGGCATGTACTTTTCAAGCAATTGGTCGTTTCCCTTTGTCACAAAGGCACTCTTTTGAAGTCCTAGTGTAATTTAGGTATTGGATTTATTTTCTTAACAATTGGCACCAGAATGCCTTTTGGGGGAGGAAACTACCTTTGAGGAAATGACTTGATTAGCCACTGGGTAGAAGGTGGGGCCCTGTGGGGTGTGGTGTTCAGCAAAATGAAAGCCACAAAAGAGCCTGGTTAAATTGCTCTTGTGAGAATTATAGAGGAATTTCTTTTGTTTCTGAGAGGGAGAGGTGGGGAAGAAAGGGAAGCAAAGAAGGGAGGGAAGAGAGGAGAGTAGAAAGAGGAAATTGTGATACGTGCTGGAGAATAGGAAGTCAAACAGCCAGTGAAAAACTTCAGGTGGCTGAAGGATTTTCTATGAAGACATATATTGAGGACTCAACGTAAACTATCTGCATTTCCACAGCTAAAGACACTTCTCTGCTTGCCCATGCCATACCAAGCCTAAAAGCGTACCACACTCACAAATGGATGGGCAAATTGGCTTGAGGATAGAGATGATTTTTATGCCTCAGTCAACTTGACGTCAAATAGCGGCAGCAGTTTCAGAAACAGATCTGACCGCCAAGAATGGGAAGACTTTGGATTTCCTCACTGTGCAAAAGGAGAGTTCAAGCCTAGACCTGTTTGGATCTCAAGAGTAGAAGACTCCAGCTGATATGTAGATTATATTCCTAGTGATGCCTCACTAACATGACAAAGTCTTAAGTGTGACTTTCTTTTCTTTAATGGCTGATTTCTTCTCATTATTTTGACCTAAAGCATATCCAGTGCGAGCCACAGCTGTTTTCATTTAGTTACTTTAAGAAAACGCTGTGTGAAGTTAATTACATTTAATGAATGGTATGTTTTTTTGTGAGTTTCCCCTGCTTCCAAAAGGAGGCCAGTTTCTTATTAAATAAGGTTTTTGAAAAATCTGATTTCATTATGCACAGTTGTTCATTGTTTCCCTTATTTTGTGATGCTTAGTATTACTTTAAAAACCCTGTGACTATGTTGCACATATGTGCCAGATTTTTTCCTCTGTCCGCCCCTTTCCCCTCTCTGCATAGACGGATAGATAGACTCTTTTCCTCTTACCTGTCCGTTATCCAGTTTCTCTTCTTCAAAGCTAGAAATTTTGCCTCTTGCCATCTCGCCCTCATAACACAGAGGCGAAAGTATTGCTTAACGGACCTTCCATTTCCTTTTCCTACTTGTTCTTTACTGTCATTTTTCTAACCAGACTAATTTTCTTTTTTGCTGACCCTCACAGATTAATTTAGAAGGCTCCTCTGTGTTAGTTCAAAGATTTTCCATAGTTGACATCGCTTCCCTGTGCTTCTGATTAATGCGGTCTCCATAATGAAACTCATCTGTTACAATTAGCTGATTTTTAAAACTATCAGAAGGTATCGTTTTACTTTTCTTTATCTCCAATATCAGGGCACGTTCTTTTAACAAGTCAATACTTACTGCACTTACCGGAAAATGCCTGTGATAACAGACATCTTCTCTTCCGACTAACCCACCATTTGTCTGGAAGATCCCCGCCTGCCTTCTTAAAAGTTAAACACAATGAATCTATTCCTAGAGCAGAATGAACAATGTCAAGCATAGTTTCTAACCTCCTGTTTCAAGGTTTAGTTCATTTGCAAAACAGGACACAAAAATCCCACTAGGCCATCACCAGGTTATGTTGTTAAATAGCATAGTTAATTATCAGAATCTGCACATCGCTGGGGTAATGAATGAGGAAGGATCCAGAGAAAAGAATACCGCTAATTCTCTAGTTCTTGCACTGTCAACAGTACCCTTACTCTCTGTTTTCCTTAAAAAAATTTGAAGCCACCAGAAGAAATACCCTCATTTCCCTACGTGACCATTAGAATTACCAGCCTCTTCACACATCCTCTTCTCCTTGTTACCAGGTGCGTTATTTTCTTCGAGGGCCAGCGTCTCTAGGTGTGCCTGATGTTCCATCCTCTCTCACCTTCTACAAAAAATTTACCCTACTGATTATTTCCTCCTCCTACATTTTTGCTTTTGACCTATCCCATCAGCACTTAAATATGCCCTAATCTGCCGCATCTTACAAAACATTTCAACCCTGTCCTCCATTCCCACAACCATGTTAGCAGTGTTTTCCTCCTTTTTACAGCCAAACTTATCAAAAACTTTCTCTGTGTTCATTGCCTCTGCTTTATCACATCCCCTTTGTCCCTCTACACTCTCATCTGTCTTCCATCCCCATGATTCCAACCAAAATGACTCTCTCAAAAATCACCAGAGACATTTTCTCTTAAGATAAATGCAAAGTCTACTGCTTTCATTCCACCTGGCTTTTCTCCTTATTCGACACAGTTTCACCATGTTTCCTTCTGTAAAACATGACACCTGTGGCTTTCGTCACCACCCACTCCTCTGATTTTATACTTCTTTCTCTGGCCATTGCTTCTCAGGCTCCTTTTCTGGATCTTTCTTCTACTTTTTTGATTTAAACTATTTGTGGCAGCTACTCAGGGCTTGGTCCAACTTCTTCCTCTCCTAATCCTACACTCTTCCTCATGCACTCATATATTTGCAGAGGTTTTACTTCCCATCTTTTCTCAAAAGATTAATTTAGATGCCAGTGAATATAAGGAAGATTCTGGTGATTCCTATTTCTGGAGAGCCTTTCTCTCTCAAGTCAGGGAAACATTCACAGAAATGAGTACGTGTAGCAGCTGACATTTTGCGATCCCCACATGGACAAATAATCAAAATGAGGACTTCTTTGCCAGAGCATGAGCTCTTTGGGGAAATTTGATAGATCCATAACTTTGTCCTTCCTCAGGTCTCAGTGTGATAGCACTCAAAGGATCTTTGTTTTTAAAGTTCTTATTTTAGCTTCAAAAAGCTATTTCTTACATTGGATCATTGCTTATTTCCTCCCAAGGAGAGCACATATTTCTAGGCTTTTGATAATATGACTTATTTTTATGACCAGGATACTTGATAATCATCTTACTTTTTTCAGACATAACTTAATCAAGATTAGCTCTCTGTTGGAAGAACTATTTAAAATATTTACAGTAGAAAATGCCTTAAAACTTTTTAGTGCAATGTAATATTTTGTAGTTGAACGGACTAGGCAGCATGGTTACTTCAATTACTTCAGAAAAGTTTACCTAACTAGGGAACTTTGTTTAGAATCCTGTGTATTTGAGTATTGAGAAATGCCAGCACAGTGAAAGAGTCCTTCTCTATGGGAAATATTTGCTGCTGAATCAATCAGGCTGAAAGTCCTAGTTTTATGACATGCTAACTATATATCTCATTTGATCCTTGATGGGAGATTTCTCCAAGGAATATTGACTTCTTCAATTAACCAGTTTAAAATCTCTCATTATAATGAGCAATTATGTAGAATAGCAGAAAGTTATGGGCTTTGACACTAGGCCAACCTAGGTTCAAATGCTGACTCAGCCACTCATTACCTATAATATTTACCAGGCAATAATTTAACTTTCCTGATTCTCCTTTATCACCTATAAATTAGTTTAAAATTTCATTTTTTCAGAACAGTTTTAGGTTTACAACAGAACAAGGGAAGGTATGGAGATTTCCCATAAACCTCCTCCCCCTACACAGGCCTAGTGTCCCCCATTATTAACACCATTCATCAGCATGGTACATTTTACCAAGGATGGACCTACATTGACACATCATAAAAAGCCCATAGTTTACTTTAAGATTCCTTCTTGGTGTTATACATCCTATGGGATTGATCAAAAATATAATGATGTATATCCATCATTATAATATCATACAGAGTATTTTCACTGCCCTAAAAATCCTTTGTGCTCTGCCTATTCGTCCCCTATCTCTCTTCCCCTTCTACCCCTGACAATCATTGATCTTTTTATTATCTCTATTGTTTTGCCTTTTCTAGAATGTCATGTAGTTGAAATCAAACAGTATGTATGAAGCCTTTTCAGGTTGGCTTCTTTCACTTAGTAATATGCATTTAAATTTCCTCCATGTTTTTTCATGGCTTGATAACTATTTCTTTTTAGTGCTGAATAATATTCCACTGTTAATATTCCACAGATATATCACTGTTTATTTATCCATTCACCTACTGAAGGACATCTGGGTTGCTTCCCAGTTTTGCCAATATAAACAAAGCTGTTATAATCAGCCATTGCACATTTGTGTGTGTGTTTTCAATTCCTTTGGATAAATACCGAGGAGCGTGATTACTGGATCATACGGCAAGAATATGTTTAGTGTTGTGAGATGCTGCCAAACTGTCTTCCAAAGTGGCTGTGCCATTCTGCACTCCCAACAATGCATGAGAGCTCCTGTTGCACCACACCTTCATCAGCCTTTCGGGTTGTCAGTGTTCTGGATTTTGGCCATTTTAATAGGTATAGAGTGATAGCTTGTTGTTTTAATTTGCATTTCCCTGATGACATATGATGTGGAGCATCTTTTCATATACTTACTTGCCATCTGTATATCAGCTTTGGTGAAGTGTCTTTTAAGGTCTTTGGCCCATTTATTTTTATTTTTTTATTGTTATGTTAATCACCATACATTACATCATTAGTTTTTGATGTAGTGTTCCATGATTCATTGTTTGTGCATAACACCCAGTGCTCCACGCAGAACGTGCCCTCTTTAATACCCATCACCAGGCTAACCCATCCCCCCACCCCCCTCCCCTCTAGAACTCTCAGTTTGTTTTTCAGAGTCCATCGTCTCTCATGGTTCGTCTCCCCCTCCGACTTACTCCCCTTCATTCTTCCCCTCCTGCTATCTTCTTCTTGGCCCATTTTTTAATTAGGTAGTTTGTTCTTTTACTGTTGAGTTTTAAGGGTTCTTTGCCTACTTTATATAACAATCCTCTGTCACATGTGTCTTTGGCAAAAATTTCCTTGTAGTATGTAACTGTCTTCTAATTCTCTTGAAATTGTCTTTCACAGAGCAGAAGCTTTGGATTTTGATGAACTCCAGCTATCAATTATTTCTTTTATGGATCATATCTTTGGTGCTGTATCTAAAAAGGCACTAAAGTCATCTAGATTTTTCTATGTTATAGTCTTTTAGAAACTTCATAGTTTTGCATTTTACATTTAGGTCTATGATCCATTTTGAGATAATTTTTGTGAAGGGTATAAAGGTTTGTGTCTAGGTAAATTTCTTTGCATGTGGATGTTCAGTTGTTCCTTTATTGAAGAAAACTTCTCCATTGTATTGCCTTTGCTCCTTTGTCAAAGACCAGCTGACTTTATGTTGGTGTATTTCTGGGCTCTTTATTCTCTTCCAGTGATCTATTTGCCTATTGCTTCACTAATACCACATTGTCTTGATTACTGTAGCTTTAGAGTAACTATTGAAGTTGGGTAGCATCAGTTTTTATTTCCTTTAATATTTGTGTTGGCTATTCTGGATCTTTTGCCTCTCCATGTAAACTTTAGAATCAGTTTGTTGATGTCCATAAAATAACTTGCTGGGATTCTGAATGAGATTGCATTGAATCTGTAGATCAAGTTGGGCAGAACAAGCATTTTGACAATGTTGAGTGTTCCCATTCATGAACATGGTATATCTCTGCATTTTATTTAGCTTTTCTTTTTTTTCAATCAGAGTTTTGTCATTCGCCTCATATAGACATTGTACATATTTTGTTAGATTTATACTGAAGTATTTCATTTTCTTGAGTGCCAATAAAAATGGTGTTATGTTTTTAATTTCAAATTTTACTTGTTCATTTTTGGTATATAGGAATTCAACTGACCTTTGTATATTAACCTGGTATCCTACAACATTGCTTTAATCGCTTATTAGTTCCAGGAAACTTTCATCAATTCTTTTGGATTTTCAACATAGACAATCATGTCATTTGTGAGCAACAATAGTTTTATGCCTTCCTTCTCAATCCATGTAAGTTTTATTTCCTTTTCCTGCCTTATTATATTAGCAAGGATTTCCAGTATGATGTTGAAAAGGAGTGCTAAGAAGGGACATCCTTGCTTCATAGCTGATCTTAACGGGAAAACTTCTAATTTCTCACCATTAAGTATAACGTTAGTATAGGTTTTTTGTAGATAGTCTTTATCAAGTTGAGAAAGTTCCTCTCTATTCCTAATTTACTGAGAGGTTTTTTA